TTCCGCACCGAATCGTACCTTGACTTCTGGACACGTGTCGTTGCATTATCCAATAGTGAATCCACCAAACCGACGTGCAAGTCGATGGAGTCGACGACCGCAGCTCGGCTCCCATCCTATCGGCTCTTCGCGGAACATCTATTGGATCCGGATCAACCCATGGTTACTCGGATCTTATCGTTGATTTGCAACCACCCGATCAACCACGTACTTTTATCTGACTATTTCACCCAAACCGCCGATGCTTCCATCCTATGTGGCCTCCTACTAAATGACATCAATCGTACACGTGTCAAATATCAGTCCATCAAATCCACCTTACAATCCTTAAATGACCATTCTGCTCCCAAAACACTAATCCGTCTAATCAGATTCACCCCGATTTTATCTCTAATTCGCATCCAAGCCACTCAAGCCGGATGCTCCAACTTGCTGAAACGACTTGAATCAACTCGGGACAAGGCTCGAGCCAAGCTCCAACTCGTAAAAAAGCTTCGAGTTGGCTCAACCATTTTCTTAGTTGCGTTAACAGCTTCGTTGAGCGTAATAGTTGTCACGCATGCTATTGCGCTAGTTGTGGCAATGCCGGCTTTTATAGCAGCTTCGCTTGACTTGGCTTCGCCGAAGAGGCTGATTAAGATGACATCTCAGCTCGATGCCGCCACGAAAGGGACTTACATACTAAACAGGGATTTGGAGACCGTGAGCCGACTCGTGGCTCGCCTAAACGATGAGCTTGAGCACATGCGTCGCATGGTCAAGTTTTGGGTGGAGCGTGGGGAGGAGGATTGGAGCCAAGCCGGAGGAGAACTGGCGCGCCAGCTGAAGAAAAATGACTGTAGCTTTAGGCAGCAGCTTGATGAGCTAGAGGAGCATTTGTATTTGTGTTTCATGACCATTAACAGAGCTAGAAATCTCGTGGTGAAGGAGATTCTGGATCCGGGTCAAATCACTCTGACCCATGATACATTATAAAAATAAAAACTCAATAATTGTTTTGCTTCTCTAGTTTATTTTGTTTTAAGCTTTTTAGCAAAAATGGTTTCGATTAGCATAACTCTTAAGTTTGGTTTTTGAGATTTGAAATCGATAGAAATGGTTCCTAAGTTTGTCTATTGTCAATCATTTTATTCATTCCGTAAAAAATCTTTGTTAAATAAGGATCAAAATGATAAATATACCCTCAATTTTTGTCAAATTATTTTAGCCAATTGTTTATTAAATTGAGGGTCTTTGTCATTTAGGTCTATTTAAATTTAACAAAGATTTTCACGGAATAACTAAAATGATTGAAATTGGACAAACTCATAAACCACTTTTATCGATTTCAAATATCAAAAACCAAAATAAAGAGTTATCAGAGACCATTTTGGCTAAATTACCTTTTGTTTTGTAGACAAACTCACCAATGTGGATTATACGGTGCATCAGTGTTCGTAAATCATATGAATTATGTTATTTGTGGAAGAATTTGCCGTACATGTGACATAAAATAAGGAAAATAAACTTGTACTTTAAAGATAAAAATTTGTCAAAATATTTTACATTGACGATGATGGTTTTGATTAAGGTCTAAAATATCGATATTATCTCGATATTTCCATCGTAATTTTCGTGTTTTGAACTACCGATATTTCCGATATCATCGATATTTTAGACCCTGATAGGAACTCTATGTGGTACTAAGTCACTTATGTATCTTACCCTGCAATGTATAAAATGTAAAATATTGTACTAATTCATTATATATAAATGATTATGGTGTGTTTAAACTTCTTTCATTAATTACTACATATTTTCTATACTCACAATGTTTGCCAGCTCGCTATATAATTAACTTAAATCAGTTAAATCCATCATGCAATGCATTTCCTTCCAATTTTTTGTGATAAACTAATAGATAATTGACTAAATAAACATCATGCAAAGTTTCAATAAAAATTTCCAAGTTTTTCTTACAATTTCCGTGGTTTTTATTCAATTTTTATCGATATCGATAATATCCCGATATTTCCATTGAAATTTCCATGTTTTTGAACTACCGATATTTCCGATATCATCAATATTTTAGACCTTAATGTTTTTGATATAGTTGGAAATATCGACACCTTAATTTGCCCGCAACCGCACGGCATCTCGAAATTATTGTCTTGACTCGGTGTCATGCATAGTCATTTTCAAGTTTGAAGACCATTAGAAACCAATAAATACTGGCATCAAAATATATTCAGTGTTAAGTAGAGAGATTCCGTCATACATTCGGAAATATAACTCATTCTCTCGATTACTTCTGTCATATGATCCATAATCATGTGATAAAAAGGATATACCGACTTCAAGTCAACATAAAATGACCCTTTTTATCATTATGGTACGTTTATGTTCCTCTTGAAATAGAGTGGGCAGAACTGGCTGGCGGTCATTCAATGCCAACTAACACCACCCTCCTCCCTAACATAAATTCCTGGCACATGTCTTCATCAACCTGATTTCTAAGTGTGAAGTGAACTACTTGATCTTAACGCGGTAATTTCCCAGAAATAAAAATAAAAATACTAATCATCTTATTGAAATTTCATTGGGATTTGGGATCGCTTCGGACTCTGATTTAATTATAATGCACAGTGTGGTAAATGAAGACTTTGACCTAGCTTCTGATTCCATTTCACTGAACGTAAATCTGCTGCACTCATTTTGTGTATGATTTCTTTGTGATTTTTGTTATTAATTAACACGTATTAATAAACTTACGTGTTATTACATCACTTGATATATATATTTACAGCGTGCCTATTTCACACCTCACTTTAATCACACAAGAAGTAAAACTCTGCGCGAGGTACATTCTCCTCCTACCCTTGCAAAAAATCGACTATCCACCCAACTTAGTTCATAACTTGGTTAATTTGTCACAATTCATTAATAATTAGTCACACAACTATAATAACTAGCGGAAAATTTTTAGTCTATGGGAAGTTGACCCAATATACTAAGTTTAATAATACGATTAATTAGAAATTCCCGGTAAGGTTTTTATCGAGACTCATTTTATGTATCTTGTCATCCTTTGTACGTGTTATTTCATTAATCAATAAATATCGTACTTGTTCTAGAAAAATAATACAATCAATTAGATTTTTTTTCTTCCAACAAAGTGAGTGTCCCGACACACTGAAAAACTCCCAAAAACTAGGCTGCACTAGTTACGGCTCTAATAGAGGTGTTGCAAATTAATAGTCATATTTTATTGTTGGATCTATCTCAACAATCCCCAACAAATTTATGAAAGACTTCTTAGTGGTTTCATATACCTTTTTTGCGTATGGGTTGGTCTAAGTTAGTAACAAAGAGCCTAAAATGGTACATGAGGCCATCTCCAATCGAAAGAGGGCCAGAGGGCTTGTTTTAGTCCTTTGACTCTCCAATAAATTAATATTTTAATGAATAATGTATGGTCATATTTTTTACCATCTCCAACCGATGGGCCAGAAAGCCATAGGCCAAACATAGCCCTGTGAAAAAAAAAATATCATCTCCAACCGAAAGCCAAAGGGTAATAGTGCCAAAAATAATTTATTATTTTAATTGAATTACTGTGGTTACTTGAATTAAATTACCTCAATATTTTTATGTTATGGATTGTCAATAATTTTCATGTTGTTAAATTTTGTTTATATTGTTTAATGTTACTTAATGTTATTTAATGTTGTTTAATATTGTTTAATGTTGTTTCATGTTACTTAATGCTATTTAATGTTGTTTAATATTTAATATTGTTTAATGTTGTTTCATGTTACTTAATGTTATTTAATGACTTAGGAAGTTATAGGGAAAAAATAGAATTTTTAAATTAAAAAAAAAAATTGTAAAAAAAAAAAAACTGTAAAAAAAAAATAAAAATCAAATATGATGTCAGCATATGCCCCCGCCTGAGGCTGGCTAGGTTGAGCCAGCCGGTTGCCCCTTTGGCCCTTTTTTGTCCAGTGGGGCCCATGAGCCCTTTGACCTGGCCCTTGGTTGAAGACGATTTTTGGGTTATTTTCGACTATCTAACACTCTGAACCATTCGATTGAAGATGGCCTAAGGAGTCATCTTCCATAAACATTTTCAACTAATTTTACAGGTTGTAGTAGTCCCTTGTCATTGACTTGGGTACGAAATAATTATTAGGGAATCATACAAAGAATCTAGGAAATTAGACTACGTTTACTAAACATGAATGAGTATGCAAGAGGATACGTGGTTCATTTTATACATAAGCAACCATGCATGTATTAGATCATCAAGTATCGCGTTCCCATTAGTTACTTATCTCATTTCAAGTAATTTACCATGACAATAAAGTATAGACCATAAAGATATTGTGGTGGTATTGTTATTTGAAACCTTTGTGTGTGTGTGTGGATAAAATAATAGACTGAAGAATAAATGGGTGTCGAATTCACTACTTACGATATTCAAACTTAAGAACTCTCACGTACAACTGCCAACCTTATATGAATTCATCCAACAAGACTTAGCACAAACCCTAAATTTTCCTATGTGTATTTGAATAATATTCACGTATGATTTTGTCAAAATTAACTTCGAGGTAATTCATCTTGATATTAACGTTTTCCTCTAAACAAGTTTTACGTGTTGCCTGATTATATTGATTAATATACAATTAAAAAGTAATGCTATGAAAATCATTTTTTTAGACCAAATTTGCAACTAAGTAATGTGTCATCAACATATTTAAATACGTTAATCAACACTAATAATTGTCAATAACCGCATCATATGATTTACTCAATTTGACCTAAATAATTTTTCTCCCTACCATGGTTAAATACACACCCCACTTTCGACTGCTCAGTCTACCCCCACTGCATAATTCACCGACTGGGGGGATTAAAAGAGTGAAACATTTATGGGTCGCAACATTGAACGACGGTGACACCCATAATTGCACCCCAACTACATCAAGCAACTAGGTTATAAGTATCTCCTAAATCTCATCAATCCACTCACACACTCTTCTATCTTCAAACATCTCCACCTTGTCCTCCTCCCTTGTTAGATTCTTCTCCTCCCATCACCACCAACAATGGCGGATATATCGAAGGTGAAAGTCACCGGAAAAACACATGTGAAGCCCAACAAGAAGATAGGCAGCCAAAAATGTCAACTAGTCACATTTGACCTACCCTACCTGGCTTTTTACTACAACCAAAAGCTCCTTTTTTACAAGGGGGGTGAGTTCGAGGAAAGGGTGAAGAAACTGAAGGAGGGTTTGGAGGTGGTTCTGGGGGAGTTTTACCAGCTGGCGGGGAAGCTCGGGAAGGACGACGAGGGAGTGTTTAGGGTTGAGTATGGGGATGAGATGGAGGGTGTGGAGGTGGCCGAGGCGGCGGCGGAGGAGATCAGTATAGCTGATCTGGCAGTTGAGGAAGGCACCAGTGCTTTGAAGGACTTCATACCCTACAATGGGGTCTTGAACTTGGAGGGCCTTCACAGGCCACTCCTAGCAGTGCAGGTAATTAATTAATTAATACTAATTAAGCTACATGAAAAATACTTAAATCTAATTACATGTGAAATTGCTAATCTAATAAAATTTATTATTTGACATAAAAATTTACATGTTACTTTATGTGGCATCATGAAATTTATTCATTTCAAAGTTAGTCTCGATTTAATATCTGATTTCTTTGAGAGATAAATAAATGTTCACTCATCTAAAATCATAAGAGGTTTTTAGTATGTTCTGAATAAGTGACAGAATATTACATGTCATAATATAATTAGAGACAACTTGAAAAGAAAATTTTCCAAGCATAATGTAGCAATCCCATCATATTATATTGTGTCTTGGTACGGTTTTTATTGCCCCTTAAAGGATCCAAGCAAGGATAGTCCCGCATATGAATGAAACAACTTTCCATACTTGCAGTTATTGAGGCAAAAAAACTATTATCTAGGTTAGGCGGTTGATTATGTCAATGTGTCCGCCCATTTTTTTGAAATTCGAGTTATAGTCTCTTGCCTGTAGATGAATAAGCATCCAATTGTTATAATTGTTTAGAATTAATCAATTAGTAAGAACAATGTGTTCGTTATTTGTTACCTTGACACGAGCTCGATTTTCATAACATTACATATATTTTTAGGAAAACTAATGAAAAATGTTTGAAAACTTTGAGTTTTAACGATAAGGACAAAATAAAGGGTAAAATGAATAGTAGCATGTTTGATTTTTTAGTATAAAATATGATTTTTCGTTAAAATAAACAGTACCGTGAGCTTTTTGTTAAAACTCTCTATATTTTTTCCTCCAAAAAAGAATTGCACTTGTTGGCTGATTTTTAATTACTATTTACGATGATTAATTTTTCTTTTTTCTCATTGGTTTGGCAGTTGACCAAGCTGAAAGATGGACTGGCGATAGGGTGCGCCTTCAACCATGCAATCCTAGACGGGACCTCCACGTGGCACTTCATGAGCTCATGGGCCGAGATCTGCAACGGATCCAAATCCATTTCGACCCAACCATTCCTGGACCGGACCCAGGCCCGAAACACTCGAGTGAAGCTCGATCTCTCCCCGCCGGCATCAAACGGCGACGTTCCCGCCAACGGAAAAACGGAGCCCAACCTAAGAGAGAGAGTCTTCAAATTCTCTGAAGCAGCGATCGACAAGATCAAGTCAACGGTCAACGCAAACCCGCCATCCGACGGCTCAAAACCGTTCTCCACATTCCAGTCCCTCTCCGTCCACATCTGGCGCCACGTCACCCAAGCCCGCCAACTAAAACCCAATGACTACACGGTGTTCACCGTCTTCGCTGACTGCCGCAAACGGGTCGACCCGCCCATGCCCGACGCCTACTTCGGGAACCTAATCCAGGCCGTGTTCACCGTCACGGCCGCCGGATTGCTGTCGGCGAACCCGCCGGAGTTCGGCGCATCGATGATCCAAAAGGAGATTGAGGGGCACAACGCGAAAGCGATCGATCAGAGGAACACGGAGTGGGAGATCTCGCCGAAGATTTTCGAGTTCAAGGACGCGGGAGTGAACTGCGTGGCGGTGGGGAGCTCGCCGAGGTTCCAGGTCTATGAGGTGGATTTCGGGTGGGCAAAACCCGAGGGGGTGAGAAGCGGGTCGAACAACCGGTTCGACGGGATGGTGTATTTGTACCAGGGGAAGAGTGGCGGGAGGAGCATCGATGTGGAGATTAGCTTGGAGGCTCCGACGATGGAGAAGCTGGAGCAGGACAAGGGTTTTCTGGTCGCTGAAAACTAGTTAATTAAGCTTAATTAATTAAGCATGGATTTGGGTTAATTGGAAGACAGTTTAATTAGTAGTGGTAACTATGGGATTATAATTAATTAATTGGTTCGTGTGTGGGTTTAGTTGAGGCAGGCTTTTAATAATTACTGGAGTCACATTCGGACCAATTTTTATTTAGATTTGTGCGGGAGTTTGAGTTTTTTGTTGGACCTTAATTTATTTTTTATTTTATTTTATTTTTTGTTTAATTGGAATTTCGAGTTTTCAATTCTGAAGTTTAAATTATATATAAAATAGATGTTATTTTCAAATTTTCATAAGTGAGAATTTAAATATAAAAAAGTTCGTACTTAAATTCAGTTTTTTTTATATTAACTTAATAAGAAAATTCATAAATTAAAAAAATAAAATTTCATTGTTTTATTTTTGAATATTTTAAAATTCTTTAATAATTTTGAATTTTCTCTTCCAAACAAAATGTTAAGGAATATATAAAAAATATGGGGGTGTGGCTCACTACCAATCATACTGGCCCTCATACAATGAGTATAACCATTTAAAACGAGTTGCAGTTATTTTGTAATCAAGATGGCCGATGTCGGACTTTCACATTATTCAACACATGCAAAACTAGTAGAATCAAGAAAGTGACGCTCAAATATTGAAACAATTGGGTGCAAAATACACCTTCACTTTTAACTTCTCAACCAACAATGCCTCGACTTCTTCTTTCGTCAACTCAACATTGCCACACTCAGATCCCTCCATGATGCCTATATCTCTGGCACCTACTGCATCTTGCTTAACAGCAAGTGACGGTCGTTGGCGTCCCATGCTACTCGGTACCTCCGGTTTTCTTGTTTCAATTCTTCACCACTTGTCCAGAGGAACTTGATCAAGACTCCTCTCTTTCTACTAGGGCTGGAAAAAAATCCCAAAAATCTCAAACCAAACCGAAAAATTCCCGAAACCAAACCGAAAAAATCCCAAACCGAAATTTCCGAAAATTTCGGTACCCAATACCGAACCGATCCCGAAATTTCGGTACGGGAATTGGTCTCAAGTTTTTGGGATTTCGGTATTCCCAAACCAAACCGAAAAAAAAAATATATATGATTTAATTTTTAAATATATATTTAGATCGATAGAGTCCATAGAAAATGAAGGCTTCAATAGTTGCACATATTTCTGTATGAATGATTTAAATCGACAGAGTCTTGCAATTGTAGCATCTACATTTGAATCCAGATTGGCAAAGTCTTGCAATTGTAGCATCTACATTTAAATTGACATAACTTGCAATTGGCACATATTGCAACGGGATTCTTAGCAGATTGCAACTCAAAAGTGTTAAAAGGTTCAATTTTAGCCCAAAAGCATAATATTTTAGTCCAAAAGCCCAAAATCATTTCGGGATTTCCGAAAATTGGGATTCCCGAAAATTTGGTTTGGGATCGGTATTGAAATTGGGATTCCCGAAATTTTTGGTTTGGGAATCGGGACAAGGGTTTCGGTATGGGATCTCATACCGAACCACCCCTACTTTCTACACAAAACAAAAATGCACAATTAAAATCCTACTCAACGGAATCGATACGAGAATAAATGCTCTTTTTTGCCAATGTTATCAATGTGTAAAGAGAATTGCACATGTCCAAGAGGCATTCGAATGGTTATTACCTGCTGCAGAGTGCACTGGTTACCCAAAGGTTATATTTGTTAGCCAAAGAAATACAATTGTTTCCATCAATCATGCATGTCTTTTCACCAAACATGAAAAGAAGCAGTGTTTAATTTGAAGAAAGATGATTGTGGCAATGACCCAACTCCCTACTCTGCCAATGCAACCAAACGCGTGTGTGTATATATATATACACACACACATATATTCCTGAAATATTCAACAAGGTGTGACGTTGGATTGTCAGAGATTGGGGTTTGGATTGGTGAAATCCTATTGGGGATTTTGGCGGAGGTTTGGGCTGGAGAGTTGAGAAGAGTGTCCGAGTGAGAGAGGAGAGAGAGCTGTATTCCTGAGCCGTAAGAGAAATGTTGTTAAAGGAAATGTCTACGAAAGTGGGACTTCTCATGAACTATTTATCATTTTTTATTGTATAATATTTTATAATGTTGCAACGAAATTGTGCGAAAAAAATAAGGTGACGATATATTCACCCATCTCATATAACTTCTTCATTTTTGATTTGCTAAGGATGACGTTAATAAGCCTATACAACTTTTGTATCATTGCCAGGGTGGCGTCAAGTAAATATAATTTGCTCTAAATAGCCTGATCAACTTATATGGAACTTGACAAATTGTTATAGTAGCCTCACGATTTAATAATATATTATCACGTGAAAAACGAAAAACGGACACTACACTTTTAGACCAACAAATCATATTAACTTAAAATTTGAAAATTTTTATCGACAAAAAAAAAAAAAAAACTAAAAATTCTTATTCCCCACCCTCAAACTTAAATCACACATTACCCTCAAAGTGTGGAAAATAAAACAAAAATAAACAAAAATAATACATAAACTTTCACTTGACTAGAAAAAATACGATACAAATAAAGAAATAAAACTAGAAAATAAAACAGAATACAAAATAAGAAAAAAAAAAAAAAGGAATGGATATATAGAAAAAGGGAACTTTAACGAAAAGCAACTAGTACGGTTCACTTTAACAAAAAATCATATTTTTACACTAAAAAGTCAATCCTGGTACTATTCACTTTACCATTTATTTTGTCCTTATCATTAAAACTCAAAATTTTCAAGCTATTTTCATTAGTTTTCCTATAGAAAAATAAGGTACAAATTTGCCAGGCGCTGGGATCGAACTCGTGACCTGGGAGCCTGAAAGGGTTGAGCTTTGCACGTGCAAGAGGACTTGTGGGAAAACCCTAGGACTTTCAGTTATATAAGTTGCTTAACAGCTTCGTTCTTCATTTCCAACCTAACCCTTAGCCGTTGAGAGCTCATAACCTCGAGCCCAGAGCCAAGAGCGCGCTCTCTCTTACTTCCTCATCGTTTCTTATGGAGCTTATGAGTACATCAAACCCTAATCTAGTAGCACCTGCACATTTTCAAAACCCTCCGCCTCTCAACCAAGCCGCAGACTCCCTCAGTTCTCTCCATTCTTGTAAAAAAAAACACCACCACAAACCCTTGCCCCATTTCTTCTCCGCTCATCTCTGAAACCTTTGAAATCACAGCCCCAACCCTCACTGAAAAGTGAGAATCCTCATTCTGTCTGAAAATTTTCTGGTCCATTGGCATTTAATGGTGGAAATATGTGAAACCTCATGCATGTGTTGGTCTGTTTCAGGGACTGGGTTTCCAAAAAGAGACATGAAGATGGCGCTACGGGCCCAACCCCAACTCGCAATGCAAGAAAGGAACTACGGAGTTCCTCCCAGCTCAGATCCGTAATCTCAAGGTATAACCCACGATTTTCATCTTTGTTCTTGTTCAGAAAGTGCAGCAGTCTGATCTCTGTGAGGTAATTCATCCCGATATTAACGTTCTCCTCCCTTGTTAGATTCTGCTCCTCCCCATCACCACCAACAGTGGCGGATATTTCGAAGGTTGTTCTGGTGGAGTTTTACCAGCTGTCGGAAACTCGGGAAGGAAGAGGAGGGAGTGTTTAGGGTTGAGTATGGGGATGAGATGGAGGGTGTGGAGGTGGCCGAGGCGGCGGCGGAGGAGATCGGTATAGCTGATCTGGCAGTTGAGGAAGGCACCAGGGCTTTGAAGGACTTCATACCCTACAATGGGGTCTTGAACTTGGAGGGCGTTCACAGGCCACTGCTAGCGTGCAGGTAATTAATCAATTAATACTAAGTAACCTACATGAAAAAATACGATCATTTTCTGCGAAATCTACTCACCTGCATTTTATGTGACATGAAGCGTATTCATTCCGGTAGTTGGCCTCGATTTAGTTTCTAATTTCTCTGTGAAATCTACTTATGTGCTATTTTACATATCATTATATAATTTGAATGACACTTTGAAAAAAACTTTCCGAATATAATGTGACAATCTCATCTTGGTACACTTTTTCTTGCCTCTTGAAAGGGTACAAGCAAGGCCCACGAACTGACATTGTTTTTTGAAAGGCAATATAATGATTTAGTTTTAGATTCCTTACTTGCAATTATTGAGCAAAGATATGCGAGCAAGTAAAAGCTATTGTCTATATATATCCAATAATTTATCAAAAACATTATGCGAGCAAGTAAAGCCATGGTTGAAAAGTTAGTCAGTTGGTCATGACAGTGCATCCGTCTTTTTCTTGAATTTCAATTTTTAGTATCTTACTTGTAGCTGAATCAGCATATCCAAGTGTTATCACTGTTTGAGAACTGATCGGTTGGTCAGAACAATATGTTCGTTGTCTGTTAACTTGACTTCAAGCTCGATTTATATGTGCTAGAGGCGTTTTAACATATCTTTTTTTGCCCAAAAAGTAGGGTAGTGTTATGATAGGATTTTTACCACACGCACAAAATGATTAAAACATCTATAATGCTTACAAGAATGACAATGATATTGTAGTATAAATGATTCTGCTGAGAGACTCTGATCGTGTAACTTTCACATACTCAAATTAGTTAGAAATTTCAAATTAGACCAAACTAAAATCTGACCGTGTAACTTTCACATACTTTATACCAACCTTTAAAAACAGAAGATTAACCTTAGATGACTACGAAAGAAAGAGATCATCTCCGGATCTCTTTCACCAAATCTTCCTAATCATTTAATCTGGACCCTTAAAATTTGATTCAACGACTACAATCCTTTAAAAGTTATAATCATTTTAACCGTTGGATCAAATTTTAAGGGTCTCAATTAAATAATTAGGAAAATTTGGTGGAAGAGATCTGGAGAGGATCTCTTTCCGACTATCAAAGTGCTTCAAAAGAATCAGTGCTATTTCCAACCTTGAAAGATTCAAAGATTCAATCTCTGCCAATGCCAGTCCTTTCTGGTACAATGCCTCTGATAATTGATCACGGGTTGTCTCCAACTTCTTTTTAGGGTTGTGTCCATCTTCTTCTTATTTTTCTATAACAAGAATCAGTGCTAGTTATTATTAACCTATCGATAAACTTATGAAGAAAAGCTCGTAAGATTTGTTGATTCTCTGAAATAATTTTGGCAGATCTTCACAACGGTTTCAAGAAAGACGAAATAAAAATAAGAAGTATGCTTTCACACATAACATAGTCCCTTCTTTTTTCTTTATATAACTCATATTTCTCACATTTTTCATCAATTTCGAACGCAAATAAAACATGTTAAGCATAATAAAATTACCATAATAATGTTACGTAGTTTTTTTTTTCTTTCTAAAATTCTCTCGTTACATAAAAAAATTACCCAAACCTCATTTCTTCTACAACAAGCTGCACATAGTAGGTATACATTATGAGTATGAATGTTATTGTTTTGGTGTCATTTTAGTCATCTATGATACATAGTAGGTACTATCAATGATATTTTTGTATGCAACTTTTGATATATGATTATGTTTTTCGGTCCCGTCACATATGATATCCTAGATTTGTAGGCGTTCATGCACAAAATTGGGTCGATTTTGGACCAATGTAAATCTGATCGTGAATCACACAAATGCATAAGAACACAAAGATATATTGGGGTTCACCACAAGTTGGGGCTACGTCCACACTGGTGTCGATTCGGTTTCACTATGTAAATTGAGGGTTACAATGTACATGGAGATAGAGGTTAGGGTTTGCTCTCTTTGCTCCTATTTGCCCCTATTTAAAGTGAGGTGAAGGATCCATTTATAGAATAAGGGTTCCCTTCACCTCCTACATGCTTCATAGGCTAGGTCGTGAGGCCCAAATACTAAGGCCTAATATATGGTACAACATGACTTCCTTAATTCTTCAGTCAATAGAGTCTTTTGGTTGAAGACTTTAAATCCAATCCATGTGTAAGTCGAAGTGACTAAAAGTGGTCCTGAAACCAATACTCGACATAGGGCGGTGCCCATTCTCAAGCAATACTTAACTACAGGTAGCACACATTGCGAGGTTGCTCGACTAGAGGAAATGCTCGAGGCAAGGCAGTTGCTCTGCTGGAGACAGTGCTCGTTGCAAGGCAGCTCGACTCGTGGTGTTCCTCGTGCACTCGAAGTCAGCATGCATTCATTATGAGTTAACTTTCGATATGACTCGGGTTTGCTTGTCGAGTTCGCATATGGGTCTATATGTCTGCTCCACAGATCGGGTCCACAAGTCGGGTCTCTAAGTCGGGGCCATATGTAGGGGATTTGAGTTGGGGCCACAAGTTGGGTCAATGAGTCGAGTTCCGAGCTCAAGTGTGTCCAATCTAGTAAGTCCGACCATGAATCACACAAACGTACAAGACACACAAAGATATATCATGGTTCACCCAAAATTGGGGCTACGTTTAGGGGTGGAAAAAATTCCCAAAATTCCCAAACCAAACCAAAAAAATACCGATCCCAAACCAAAAATGTCCCAAACCGATTTTCCCAAAATTTCGGTATTCCCATACCGAACCGAAAATATATATTTTAATTATTTTATATATATATATATATAGATAATAATATATATTGTTTTTTTAATATAGTTAGAGTTAATTTGAACCGTTGGATTGCTTCAAATTAATCCATGCCATCCATTCCTTGTTAGGTTTCTCCCAGTCTAGTTTCATTTCTGATTTCTCACTGAGTCTTCCAACACCGACAGCCTTCCTTCGAATCGTCTCTGACTCTCCAGCCGCCCAGCCTTCCTTCATGAATCACCACCCAGCCACCGCCACGCCAAAGCATCAAAGACTGAACTCTCCAGCCTTCCTTCACGAATCGTCTCCGACTCTTGCGATCTCTCTCTCACGGACAGAACTCTCGATCTAGCACCGAGTCCGAGTCTCACTCTCACCCCAAATTAGGTAACTAATTTAGTGTTTTGAAATCTAATTTCTGACACTCATCCAAAGTAGGGATTGTTGGCAATTTTTTTTGTTTGTGTGTTAATAACTTATACATTTCTTCCATCTTCATCTGTTAGTTAGTAGTCATTCAATAATTAAAATGATGTTTGATTGAGTTTGTCGTATTCTTTTTGAAAAATCGTTTCTTTTATTGATGATGCGCTGCGGCACCCGTGTTTGATGCTATGTATTTGGTTTTGGCGGGTTGTAGGGGGGTTAAAGTTGTTTCTGGTTGCATCCTGCTCGCTTCATTCAGAATGTTGGTACTAGGCGCTGTGTTAGTCCATTAATTTCATGTTCACATAATACTTACAGGGAAACTCTTCAACTTTCTAGATGGCTAGTTCAAATTGTTAGGCTCTAATATCATAGCTTGGAAGTGGAGAATTTCAACTCAATTCTTAATGAACTGCACTTTTGTTGCGATACCTTAACTAACAAAGGGTTTAATGAGAATAATACCCCTGAGTTTACACTCTGGAGAAATAGATTGAAGTTATACTTTTTTCTTGGAGTCTTACTTGCGACAATAAGTAAATCTCTTTACACCTGCACACACATCATTGAATTAAGCGTTCACTGGTGCACCTTTACATGTAATAAATTAAACCGCTATCATTGATCATTAATCAACAAAGAAAATTATTAAGCACTACTACAAGTGATTATCTATGCTGACTGATTTCCTGGTTATCTTCAGGGAGAAGTGTTAGCAGGTTTAGCACTGCTGTAGCAACTGAGGAGTTAATCATTTCACCTGTTCAAACTTCAAATTAGTCACACGCTGCGTCAGGTAATATTTTTGTTTTGGCTATAGAATCTTAGATACATGGTCTTGCTTTAATGTTTGATAGCAAATCAAGTTTTGTAATTCTGTGCACAGATTGGCATATTCTAGGCAGATACTTAACTGGGCCTTGCCATTTAATTGGCATATTTGTGCACAGATTAGTAGAAAAAAGACATGACGTTACAAAGTCTGTAGGTTTGCCATCCTCTATATTAGAAACGAGCTGGTTTTTATTTGCTCGGAATATATTTCTATGTTGAATGCTAATATTTTTGCTTTTGGATTTGGTACTTAATTTATTTTTATTGCATGCATGTGTAGTAGAAATTGAATAGGCAGATGCTATTGTGCACAGACAGATTGGCAGATTGCTTTTGAATAGGCAGATGCAATGAAAGTATGAAACTATGTCAAATTGGCAGATTGGGCAGATGCTATGAAAGTATTGAATAGGCAGATTTCTTTTTAATAGGCCTATATGTCAATTTTTCAATATAAAAGATTGAATTTTAGCCCAAAAGCATAATATGTCAAATTTTAGTCCAAAAGCCCAAAATCATTTCGGGATTCCCGATTTGTTCCGAAATCCCGAAACTATTTCGGGATTCCCGAAAATTGGGATTCCCGAAAATTTGGTTTGGGATCGGTATTGCAATTGGGATTCCCGAAAATTTCGGTTTGGGAATCGGGACAAGGGTTTCGGTATGGGATCCCATACCGAACCACCCCTAGCTACGTTCACATTGGTGTCGATTTGGTTTCACTATGTAAATTAATGTACATGGAGATATAGGCTAGGGTTTGCTCTATTTGCTTTTCTTTGCCCCCCTTTAAAATGATGTGAAGGATCATTTTATAGAATAAAGGTTCCATTCACCTCCTACATGTTTCATGGGCTAGGGTGTGATGCCCAAATACTAAGACCTAATATATGGTACAACAATATGCAAGATTGATATGGATAAGCAATCTTCGAGAAGCCAGTTTGTGTTTACCCTGCATATATCGGGGGGAAAACAAAACCAAGAAACAAAAAGTCAATGGGGTCTTAAATCTTATCGACCTTGCTGGAAGTGAGAGATTGTCAAGGATGGGTGCAACTGGATAACGGTTTAAGGAAACCCAAGCTATTAATAAAAGTTTTTCATCCTTGAGCGGCGTAATGTATGTTTTGGCGAATAAGGAGGACCATGTTCCATTTAGGAATTCCAAGTTGACCTCTCTACAAGTATAATAATCTATGATAGTTTTACCATTATGGATGCTTGCTTTGTTCTCAAGGAATTATAGTATTTACTTCACATCTTTTTAATGCATAAACAACCTTGTCTGGGAGGAGATTGCAAGTCGTTGATGGTAGTCAACGTCTCGCAATTTTCCTCTTTCGTCGGGGATACCCTATGTTCGCTCATATTTGCTTCTACAGTTTACACGTGTGAAGGGATTTCTCGAAGGTAAATGATCAAGACCTTGCAGCTAGCTAGTTCAGCTCGGTTTGGTATTCTGAGGACCACCAAGAAGCTTGCTCAACCAGCTACTGCTCATTCTAGTGTAAAAAGGACAACCGTGAATACCTTATATCTAGGCATGAAGAACTTACAACTAGACAGTCCAGCTCCGTCTGGTGTCTAGTGAAAATTTATGAGGTTTAGAATATAAATCACTAGTAGAAAAGAAAACAAATGCATATAGTTTCTTATCTATTTAAGAAATCATGAGCTGTCAATTGTCTAATCACATCACACCTTGGATGTTGATTCTGCCCTTCCGTAAGCTATAGGTTTAGTTTGGATCTCAATCACATCAACTTTGATTTGAAATTCCAAAATTTGATGAGGTATTCACAGCTTCACCACAGCTTCCAAAAGGCATTAGATGACATGGCCAGATTTCTTAAAGAGATAAGAAACTATATGCATTTGTTTTTTTTCCTACTAATGGTTCATGTTCTAAACCTCATAATTTTTCACTAGATACCAGACGGAGCTGGACTATCTAGCTTTAAGTTCTTCACGCCTAGATGTAAGGTATTCACGGTTGTCCTCTTCACACTAGACTGAGCACTAACTGGCTACACAAGCTTTTTGGTGGTCCTCTAGATAACAAACCGAGATGGACTAGCTAACTGTAAAGTTTTAGTCATTTGCCTTCGAGGAATCCCTTCACACGTGTGAACTGTAGAAGCAAATCTGAGCGAGCAAAGGGTTTCCTCGAAGGAAAAGATATCTTGCGAGACGTTGACTACCATCAACGTCTTGCAATCTCCTCCTAGACAAGGCTGATTATGCATTAAAAGAAATGTGATGTAAATAGTGATGTAAATACTACAATTTCTTGAGAGCAAAGAGCAAGCGACCATATGGTAAAACTATCATAAATTATTATAACTGTAGAAGATAAATAAGCTTGGAATTCTCAAATGGAACATGGTCATCCTTATTAGCCAAAGCAGACATGATGCCACTCAAATGGAATTCTCAAACTTTTGTTAATAGCTTGGGTTTTCTCCAACCGCTCTCCGGTTGCACTCGTCCTCGACAATCTCTCAATTCTAGGTCGATAAGATTTAAGATCCAATTGACTTCTTGTTTTGTGTTTTCGTTTTCACCCAAATTACATAGGGTAAACACGAAATGGCTTCTCGAAGATTGCTCGTTCCTACAAACCTAAGATATCATTTGTGACGACACTAAAAAAACAAAATCATAAGTTGCATACAATTACATAATTGATGGTACTGTAAAATTAGAAGGTAATGCTAAAATGACACCAAAGCAATAACATTCATACCCAAAATGTATACTTGCTATATACAACCTGTTGTATAAGAAATGGGGTTTGGTTTATGTTAGAGACATCCACGATTGTTAGGCCAGAAACGTTTTCGTTTCCATCTGTATCATGGTGTATCAAGTCCTGAATCTCTTTGTTATAGATTCTGAGCACTGAGGCCTGCACATAATTAAATGGCATTATAATTTGCACAATTCAACAAACAAAAAACAAGTTAATAGTACATGCATCCTGTATGTCCAACCCTGGGTCATAAGGGACTGACTTGTTTGAAATATCTGCTCGAGTGAACAAGGCATTAAACATTTCTACTTTGGAGCATTTCGTCTGCCCATCATAGTATAAGTTTTCCCAGAACCTATTTGATCATAAGCAAATATGTAGACCTGAAAAAAAACAATCAATATTTTTTAGTGCATGCCTAAATGTACCAAATGAACACATATTCAAGAATGTCAGGGGCAATGTTGACCTTTGTGGGAAGATTGGAGCTTCCATGTGCCAACATTTCCATGGCAAAGACTCATTTCTTTCTAACCAAAGCAAAAACGCACAATTAAAATCCACCATTTGAAACATTTATGTACACAATCCTACTTAGCACGAGGATTCCCAGGATGATGTTTTTGTGGAAATATCGGAGTTTGTGCAGAGTGCACTCGATGGCCACAAGGTAAAGTGATCTTCTTTTCTGAGCATTTTAAATTGTGACACTTTTCTTTCTTCCATTATTTTGGTTTTGGAGTCCATATTCGAGCATAACTTTTGCCCTCGACAATTGGTTGCCAATGCCTTAATATTGTGTATTTTTGTTATGTATTGATTTTTTTCTTTCCCTTTTATGTGTATTTCTGTTTGTTGAATTAGAACTTCTCCTAACCCCTCTAGTGAATTATTTTACCTTTCATACACGCAAAGGCATGCACTAAAAAAAATATTGATTCTCTTTTTTCAGATCTGCATATTTACTCATGGTTAAAGAGGTTTTGGGAAAACTTATACTATGATGGACAAACTAGATACTCTAGAGTAGAAATATTTAATACCTCATTCACTCGAGTAGATATTTCAAACAAGTCAGTCCTTGAGCCCCAGGGTTGGACATACAGGATATAGGTATTATTAACTTATTTTTTGTGTTGAGTTGTGCAAATTATAATGCATTTTAATTATGTGCATGACTCGATGCTCGAAATCTATAACAAAGAGATTCAGGACTTGTTATCCACAAGAGGTGCAGACTTGGCAATGACAACACACGGAAAGCAGTACACAATACACCATGATGCAGATGGAAACGCACACGTTTCTGGCCAAACAATCGTGGATGTCTCTAGCATAAACCAAACCTCATTTCTATGTGCAGCCTCTTCTACAACAGGCTGCACATAGAAATGAGGTTTGGTTTATAAAGACATCCACGATTGTTAGGCCAGAAACGTGTGCGTTTCCATCTGCATCATGATGTATCGTGTACTGCTTTCTGTGTGATGTCCTTGCCAAGTCTGCACCCCTTGTGGATAACAAGTCTTGAATCTCTTTGTAATAGATTTCGAGCATCAAGGCATGCACATAATTAAAATGCATTATAATTTGCACAACTTAACACAAAAAATAAGTTAATAATACCTACATCTTGTATGTCCAACCCTGGGCCTAAAGGGACTGACTTGTTTAGAATATCTGCTCGAGTGAACGAGATATTAAATCTTTCTGCTCTGGAGCATATGGTATGCCCATCATAGTATAAGTATTCCCAGAACCTCTTTGACCATAAGCAAACTTGAAAAAAGACAATCATGTTCTTTTTAGTGCATGCATTTGCGTGTATGAAAGGTAAACGAATTCACCAAAGGGATTATGAGCAGTTCTAATTCTACAAACAGAAATACACTTAAAAGGGGAAAGAAAAAGGATCAGTACATAACAAAAATACGCAATATTAAGGCACTGGCAGGCAATTGCCAAGGGCAAAAGTTATGCTCGAATATGGATTCCGAAACCAAAATAATGGAAGAAAGAAAAGTATCACTGTTTAAAATGCTTAGAAAAGAAAATCACTCTACCTTGTAGCCATCGAGTGCACTCTCCACAAGTTGCGATACTTCCACAAAAACATCCTCCTAGAAAGCCTTGTGGTGGTAAAATTATATTTTTGGCCTACAAAGTTAATAAAACATTTATGATGAAATTAGATCCAAATAATTTGTCTCTATGATTTTAAACTAGATAAGAAAAAAAAAACATTTTCTTTTATGTTATAGGCCTCTTGAATCTTTTATTTACCTATTTTCTTTTATGTTATTTATGTGTAATGCCGCATTACACCAAAATAACATCTAAGTAAATAGAAGATTCAATAGGCATATAACGATATATATATATAGACCAATGAGCTAATTAAACCCAACCAAGAAAGCAAACAAAATAGAACCCTAATATTACTTGAAGTTTATCATTTGCAGCTCATGCTTCAATGTAAATTTTTTTGAAGAAGACAAG